GTGGACAAAGCGACGCACAAGACGTGCGCCTCATCCATCCCCAAGCCTCAAATGAAGCCCAGGTGAATTCGTTCAAGTTATTGTTATGTAACCGCAGTCGGAGACCGCTTGCTCTCGTTGAGGTTTTCGTGCGAAGGACTATTCGTCAGGTGTTTTGACTGCGCACGAACTCACCCTTGGCAAGCAGTCTCCGACTGCGGTTACATAACAATAACTTGAACCAATTCATATGGGCCTCATTTGAGGCTTGGGGATGGATGAGGCGCACGTCCTGTGCGTCGCTTTGTCCACTTACTATTGTTGCCACAGTGATGGCTTTAATTACATTCCGAAATGGTCAGCCATCCCTTGCGTCTGTTGAACCCATGCACTTGGTCATACCACGGAGGCGGAACTGTCTGGCAATGTACTCTGGCAATTCTTCATGATAACACTTCTTGGGCAGTGTAGATGTGTTGTGGTCAAGTGTGGTCTTGTGTCACCGCGATACGGTAAACCTGATTTACTGACAAACACGCCTAGCGACATTATGCTCTTTGAGCGGTAGAAACAGGAAAACAATCATTCTCGTGACAGTAAGATTTAACAGCTTTCTTTGGGTTCGACGTGAACATGCATGATATTCTCAGGACATCCATGGTGTGCAAAGCCAAACAGAATTCCAGGTGTTGTTCAGAGCCCGAAAGACGACCCACTAAGACATTCATGTAACCAGTAACAATCACAGTCTCAGTAGTTCCTGGTTACGATAAAAGTGATCCTTCATATCCTCTGAACTGCAGTCACTGGGGGCATAAACAGAAGCATTGAAAATGCACGATATCCTCAGACGGTTGTTATTCACCGCAATAGAGTTTGGAAGTCCAACAGCACACATACGGCTATTGACTTGCATTCAGTCGAGTAGATTGCATTCTGCATGATTGCTGAGGGCGATACGAGTAGCATAATAACCTTGAGCTATTTACTTCGTATCGACAGAGGCGCTTAGATTGTTATCGTTGTCAGCAGATTCGTCACGAAGCGGTTTTCTTGTATATGTGTTTCGGAGACAGCACACACCACTATCGAGGGAGTGTATAGTGAGAGTTAGTGCTGCTGTTGGCCGCTCTGAAAAAGTGCCTGTACGTCAAATGAACCATTGAGAAATGGGAATCTCGGTTCGATAGCTTTAGTTACGAGGTCAGTGACAGTCCCTTGCGCAATAAACGGGGGAGAAGAGAGTGGTACGGATAGAGGAGAAGAAGTGTTGGCGACTGGGTCGAGAGGGCAGATTCTACTCTCCTGCTGCCCATTCCGGAAGAGGGTTGTTGGTTGAGGTGCCCTACAATTAGCCGTTCACTCAACAGTCTAACGAACAACGCGGTCACGTATATGGAGGTTCACTTGAGTGATTCCATCCAGACCATTTGGCCAACAGCTTGACCCACAATGTAGTGGGGAGGTAGTCCAACTGGAAAGCGTGATTGCAGTGTCTCATTGGGATCTGCTTGAGGCCTGTCAGATGCAGCCTTTGAGAATCTAGGGCAAATCATGTGTGACCACGGGCAACCGCATGTGGGGATTGACGGGTTGACACCTATTTCACCAGGAGTTGCCTGGATTGAAGCGGGCGATAGCAAACCATTAAGCACCGCGTGGTGCACTCCCACGATCACAGACAATGCGTGGCACTCGCGCTCTACGCCAATCCAGCTGTGAGATACTCTAACACCTGTTGTATCCCGTGGCTGCTCTAAGGAAAAAGGATCATGAACCTCTACCAACCCTCGAAGAGGATTGTGAGACTGAGTTAATCCGAGCTCTAACCATTGACACCTTTGGTATGAGCAGTCCTAATGGCACCTAGAAGTTGTCACCGAGCGAAGCTCAATAGGTCACGAAGATAGGCAAACTATCGCATCAAAATAAAGTCCAGTGCAGTCGCGTCGCCATGGGCTTCGTTTCTCGGCCATGTCGCTGTTGTACTATGTAGTATCAGTCTGAGACTTGCTTACGCTTACGAGATCAGTTTCCACTTTTCTGACATACTACAAGTTATTGAGGATAACAACGCTTATTTCGCAAAAAGTTCTCAATTGTTCGACAGCTGCGCATCTGAAGGATTCAGTTCTCATACGTAGGGTGACTATACGCGTGTAAGATACTCTTCATACGAAACCACATCTTCTACATCTATAGGTTCGAAAGGTAGACCCTACAGTTCTCTATAGTCGAACGTGACCTACGTCACTGTTTCGGGATGACGGGTTGTTCTGAGCAAACAAAAATGGCATTGCCACGTGGAACAAGTAATTCAAACAAGGCAACCAAAACTGAAGCACGATGTCACTGATCTGGAGCATACTCAACGTCGGGGTTTCCAAGTGCGTCATTGGAACGCGTAATTTGCCATATGATAAGAGGCGAAAACACGGGCATTACTGATTAGCTGATAATCTGCTAAGGCTTAGATTGTTCTGAGTTAAACAAATCATGTGCGCCGCTATTTACTGCAGTTTAGCAATAACACCTAACTGAGATCATTCCTTGAAACTGGCAGAATAGTATAAACGCCCCGAGTGTTGCGGAATTCTTTTTTCTGTTCGTGTGTGTCGCCCCTGGTAAAAGACCACATTCGATCTGTTTCGCAACAATACAAATCATGTGTGAGAACGGTTGGAGGAACCACTCAGGCACTTACATGTCTTAGCAACCGCAATGGGAACCATGACGCAAGGATATGAAATATTCCCCAGGAGCAAGCTCAATCGAACAACGGCATAACAAAGGCAATAGGCGAGCGAAACCTCGGTGAGGATGCCAATGTGCACTGCGCGCACACTCATCCTGATTCGAATCGCTACATCCATCAAACGCGGACCTTTCAATATTGCGCTCAGTGAGCATGCGACACCCCGAACCACATTGCGGTCCACACGCTCTCCACGTCCCTCCGGTGTCACTAGCCCAACTTCCATGCCAGCTGATCATCTACAGCGGTATTTGTGAGCTACTTCATGTCATTATTCCCAAGGGCCAATTAATTCGCACTAATTCACATGGGTGCCTCGGACAGCTTAGCGATGAAATGGGCGGACACACCGCGCAATCATATTTCACGTATAAGTGGAAATGCTTGAAAGGTTAAGTGCCAAACACCATGATCACTCGTGACTGCTAAGCCCAGATGGCACGATGTGAGTTTTGCGAGTATACCCCCTAGCATGTGTGTAGTTTCAGTGTAGCCAATCAAGCCTGAATACGAGTCTCGAGCGCGACTGGGCACTCACCAAATCGCACGCGATCTGCGCCACCCCCAAACATCTCTGGTAACTCATGTCGTAAACTAGTCTGATATGCCATTGGTTGAGTTGGGATTGGTCACCCAACGAGTGGGGCGTTTTGGTTCGTTCGCGCCAGGTGGATGATATTTGATTGCGTTAAGGCGAGTTCTGAAAGATGTATGGCCGAAACCTATTTCCTTAACGCTAACTTTGAAAGCGTTATGGAGGCAATTAACTGAGAAAAGGTGTAGACACACCAATTCCTTAAATTTTGAACAAAAGCCGTTTATATTCATTGATTCATTGGGTTGTGGAGATTCAGATTCACATTCAGATGGGACTGGAACGGTTGGAAAAGCTGTTGAATGTTTCTTCTTATGTGGATCGTTGAACCAGGAAATGTTATCTTGCTGGGAGGTCTTGATGGATCTAAAAGGAAAC